CACTCTTTCCACCTATGCCCAACGTCACTAAGTCAGAGAGTTCCTCGAGCAATTATGATGCATTCAATTAGCATACAAGAAGTACAACTCAACAATTCATTAATCACAAACTTTTCTTACCTCAAATCGCTCCAAAATGAGAAGAGATAAGGAAAAAAGAAGAAGAACACGACTTCTTTGCACGACTCACAACTTGAATTCTCAATCTCCAAGCTTCAAATTCAAAGATCTATTGTCATTGCCTAGCTGAGGGAAGGATTTATAAGGTTCCTAAAGAATTAAAGGAAATAAGGATTTTTTTCGGTTCCAAAATTTATCTCACTAACTTTCTTAAGAACTGAACTTATGAGATTCGTGTCGTAAGAAAAATCTTATATACCTTTCTTCAAGTTGGACCAACTTAACTCTAACAAAAACTACCTCAACCAACATAACTCTTAAAGGTCTCTTGACTCTAGAGCTCTAAAACAACAAGAATTACAATATTCAACAATTAATCATCATATAACATATAATTACTGATAAATTAAAATTCAAACTATGTTACATCCACCTTATTTAAATATGCTTAAATTTAGACTTTTTAGGTAACTTATTATAACATGCAAAAACACATAAAGCATATTGTTATGAGTTGAATAATTTGTTTTGTTACTTCTACATAAGACATTATTATTTAGTATTTTTATTTATATAATTTTAGGGGTTGTTTGGCTTAAAAAAAGACGTGAGAAATTTTAATTGAGAGGTGAATGGTAAGAATTTTTGTTTGGTTAAAAAGAAGGGGTGGAAGAATTTTAATGTAAAGCAAACATGGTTCTTTTCTTATTTGATTTATAGCTAAAAGAAAGAAATTAAAAAATTATTTTATCTTGTAATTTTAAATTCAAAAATATAAATAAAGATATTTTAAGATAATACACTCAAATGAGAAAGAATTTTGTTCTTGCTCTACTTCATTATCTTTCTTTCTTAAAAATTGAACCAATTTTTTTTATAAAAGAATTCACCACTCTTCTCTTATCAAACACTATCATATTATTAGTACATTTTTTTTGGTGAATTTTATTATTAGTAAGTTTAGTGTAGTGGTAATTATTTTTTTAAGTTAAAAAAACTAATTTTTATTTTATGAATGAGGTTTGTACCACCTAACCTCCGCCACGGGACAATTGATGCAACCCGCAACACTAAGGTAAAGGTCATGCTTGAGTTGAGTGTACCTAAGTTGGTATTTGAAATTAGGAGATTCTTAGGATTAGCAGGGTATTATAGGAGGTTTATAGAGGACTTCTCTAGATTATCCCTGCCTTTAACTAAGCTAACTAAGAAGAACCAACCTCTTATGTGGGACTCTAGATGTGAGGAAAATTTTCAAGAGCTTAAGAGGAGATTGATTAGTGCACTTGTATTAGTGATACCTAACCCTAGTAAGACTTTTACAATATACTATGACGCCTCTAAGATGGGATTAGGCGGCGTGTTGATGCAGGATAGGAAGATAGTAGCCTATACGTCTAGATAGCTTAAGATTCATGAACATAATTATCCTACTCATGACTTAGAATTAGTGGCTGTAGTCTTTGTACTTAAGATGTGGAGACATTACCTTTATGGTTCTAGATTTGAAGTGTTTAGCAATCATAAGAGCCTTAAGTACTTATTTGACTAGAAGGAGCTTAATATAAGGCAGAGGAGACGGTTAGAATTACTTAAGGGTTATTATTTTAACCTTAGTTACCACCCAGGTAAAGCTAATGTCATAGAGGATCCCTTGAGTAGGAAGACCATTCATCTATCATCTTTGATTATTAGAGAGTTGAAATTGATTGAGGAGTTTAGAGACTTAAGCTTGGTGTGTGAGATTACCCCTAGGAGCATTAGATTGGGTATGTTGAAGGTGACTAGTAGATTGATAAAGTGGGTTAGAGTAGCCCAGAAGTTAGATCCTTTCTTAGTGAGCCAAGTGGAGAAGATTGGTATAGGTGTAGATAACCTTTTCCAAGTAGGAGTTAATAGTGTTTTGAGATTCAAGGATAGAATGTGTGTGCCTGGTAATCCTAAACTTCAGAAGATGATCTTAGAAGAAGGATATATGAGTATTCTTAGTATTCACCCAAGAGATACTAAGATGTATCAGGACCTTAGGAAGATGTTCTGATAGCCTAAGATGAAGAGGGAGGTAGAAGAGTTTGTGTAGTTATGTTTAGTATGCCACAAGTCTAAGGTAGAACACCAGAAGCCTTTGGAACTTTTGCAGCCTTTAGATATCCCTGTTTGGAAGTGGGATAAAGTGTCTATGGATTTTGTGGTAGGTTTGCCTAGGACGTTTAGGAAGTTTGATTCTATCTGGATTATAGTGGATAGACTCACAAAGTTTGCCCACTTTATCCCTATTAACATTAGATATTCCTTGGAGAGGTTGGCAAACTTCACTACAAAAATATGCAATTTAGCGACCACCAAAATTGGTAGCTAAATTGCTAAAATCGGTCACTATTTACCTTAGCGGCCGAATTTAATCAGTCGCTAAAACCCTGGTAGTTAAGCTATTTAGCGAGGGAAAATTTTTTTGGTCGCAAAATGGTTGCAATGATTTGGTCGCTGAAGTGTATGGGACCAAATTAGTAACCGAATAAATCAGTCGCTAAATCAGTCACTAAATATTTATTTTTTATTTTATTAAATTTTATAGATGTCGCAAATTTGGTCGCTACGAACCATTCATATTTGGCTTCTTAAGAATTTTATTTCACAATACTTAACTTTTTAGCATGTTTTGCCCTTAATTACATAATTTTTAGAAACTTCCCAGAAGGTCACCCATCCCTATATTACTCCAAGTCAAGCACACTTAACTGTGAAGTTCTGATGAGATAAGCTACCGAAAAGCAGATGCATGTTATTAGTATAAGTAGTACAAATTAATTCATTTAAGTCATCCTCAACTATTCAATCTCATACTTATATTATCTTTGGATCCTTATCATTTTGGTGTATCCGGGCCATTATAAATATAATAATTATATTACTAATAATTATATTACTAATAATTATATTATATTTAATTAATCTTTATTTATATATATACTTACTTTTATAATTAACAATCTACTTATTTCTATTTAAAATTAATTTTATGATACAATTTAAATTATTTATTATAAATTTAAAAGTTTAAGTAATAATTTAGATATTTTAAAATGAGAATGGTTATAATAACACTAGTATAACTTTTACTAAGTATTACACCGCTCAATAACTTTATATTGAATGTAAATTTTGTAAATCCAACCGTTAGATTGAAAGTTCATATCACTTTATATGTTTATATCAATTTTTGTTAAAATTGAACAACAACTTAAAAGTAATCAAAGTGCTCATATTTTATTTGAAATGTATATATTACGTCAATTTTGTTTTATAAGAATGAAGTATCAAATAATCTTGAATTCATATAAGATTTTGTATATATGATCTAAGAGTAAAAAACTTTCAATCTAACGGTTGAATTTATAAAATTCACATTTAATATAAAGTTATTGAGCGATGTAATACTTAGTAAAAGTTACACCGATGTTATTATAACCCTTCTCTTTTAAAATATTATTTTTATAAATTAAATTTTAACATTTTAAATAAATTATTAATTAACTTAATATATTTATTCATCTTAAATCTAAGATATAAAATT